ATTTAAAAGTTATACATGTACATAATATATAACTATTATACCAAAATTAATTTTCAGTAAATGAATTGATTTAAAATTAAATCTCTTCCGTGCAATTTAAAGAATAATTCAATTGAATTATTAAAATAAAAAAATGGCGCAAAAAAGTAGGCTAATTATAAATTTTAATTTTCCCTAAATTTAAATTTTTTGTCAAATTTTCGAATATTATTTTATTTATTATAATTTGTATAAAAAAAAATTTCAAAGCTTATCAAAATAAGCATTTGTTTGTAATTTACTCAATTGGATGAAATTTAGTAAGTAAGATTATACAAAATTTTTAATAACATTAATTATTGATAATTAAACTGAGAAGTTTGAATATTTTCAAATATGCAATAATAGGAAATATACTATTAAAATATTAAATATTATTATAATTTCTATTGTCAAAAAAAGAATGGTTAAATTGAATTTTCTTCAGACAATAATTAACAAACATTTGGGAATTGAAGATGTGATCTGAACTGGTAGCAATGAATGAAATCTAAAAGATATTTATTTGAAATCAAAAATTGAACTTATAGAAAACTTTTTGCAACTTATAAAAAATATTTTTAAACATATATAGATATACAGACACACATACATATATATAATATATGCATCTGAAAGTTGGTAGCATATGAATTTCATGAAAGTGTATTTGGAATAAATTTAAAAACAAAAATTCACAATAATTAATGAGGTCAAAAACAAATAGAGGAAAAATGAAAGACCGGTAAATTTGAAGAGAAGAGAATTAATAAAAATAATGATAAATTCGAGAGTTAAATTAATAAGAAGTTAAAAAATTAAAGTTAGGAAAAATTAATGAAATAACTAATTATTGAGAACAGAGTAAATTTAAGAGAAGATAATTAATAAAAGTAATGAAAAATTTGCGAATCGAATTTAATAAGAAATTAAAAAATTAAAATTAGCAAAAATTAATGAAGTAATTAATTATTGAGAAGAGAAGTTGAAAAAATGAAACGATACATTTAAATGATATGAAAGAGAAGCACAAAGAATTACACATAAAAGTTAAAATGATGAAAATAATTGCGATGATTTTGTTTGGCATTCATATATACGACATTCGATGGATAGATATTAATCTGTCATTTTTATGGTATCAAATAAATGAATGGATTTGAAGTGGTGCACGTACACATGCACACACACACACACACACACACACGTAGACAGACAGTATTTAGGGTTGTTGAAAAATTTTTTAAGAAATAAAATAGCATCAAAAATATAAATTCAATTTCCTTTTTCTTTTCCTTTATTTAAATTCAATTGTTTTCTCCTACCGTAATTGTAAGTTTAGTTAAAAGTAATAATTTCAAAACGAAAATAATTTTAATTTCAACTGTTTTTTTCTATCGTGATTGTAAGTTTAATTAAAGATAATAATTTCAAAACAAAAATAATTATAATTTTAATTATTGCTAAAATTTTTTTTTCAAAATGAATTAAAGCAATTTTATATTGTTTTTCTATCAGAACAAAATTTTTTGTTTACATTTTTCTTTTTTGTTTACTTTGTTTTAAATTTTGATTCATTTATAAATTATCGTTATAGTGGTAATGAATATGATTATTTGGCCGAAGAATTGGCCAAAAAAATTGGCCAAAGAATTGGTGTGCAATTTTTGCAGGCTAATTAAATGGATAAATATGAAAACAGGCAAAAGTTTTTTGTTCTTCACAAAAATATTTTCACTTCATTTTATTATTATTTATCCGATACTTTTCGTATCATTGCAAAATAAGGTTATATAATATATTTGGGCTCTTCTCTTTTTCTAATTTCAATTTTTAATTATTTTATATGATATATATGTATATGTATGTATATTCACAACTAAGTAATTTCTCCAATAAAAGAGCCGAATCATTAAATTAAAAGCAAAGTAAACCGGAATGTATATTCACAACTATGTAAATTCCCGAAAAAAAGGCCGGATTATTAGATTAAAGGCAAAGTAAACCGGAATGTATATTCACAACTATGTAATTTTCCGAAAAAAGCCGGATCACTATACTAAAAGAAAAGTAAACCGGATATTTAAGATTAAATGCCAAGAGAGTTTAAAATAAAAGGATGCCAAATCTTTGAGACTAAAAGCCAAAAGAACTTCGATATTATAGGCCAAGAAAACTAGGAAAACATCATATTTTGATTACATATTTTCTTATCCTAATTCTCTTTCATATATTATAATATATTTGTTTGTTCTCATAGAAAATCGTATACTTTCTTCCTTTTTTTTTTGTTTATTGACATTTATGAAAAGTAAACAAAAACAAAAATTACAATACAAAATAAACAAATGAAAATAGAACAAAAACAAAAACTCTTTAATGAATTATATATTTTCAGCCTTTATAGCTTCAATTATATATTTAGCACACAAAGTAAGTTAAAAACTTTTTTTTACTTATTTACATATAAATTTCATTTTTTGCTATGCAAATTATTTAGCATAATTTATTTATTTATTATATAAACAAAATTCAACTAATTTATTTATTATATAAATAAAATATTAATTCACATTCATTTGCTTAAATTCAATTCACACCTATTTGTTAACAAGTAAATTATTATTATTTTTTGCTACAATAAATAAGCTAATATGATGGTACCATACATAATTATTTGTTTACATTATGGAAATTGTGATATTTGCTATTCATGTAAACAATAATAAAATCGTATTATGAAGTTTCATTTATATCGTGGATATAGATTTAGGTGTAATTAAGGAAATTATGGGATGAAAATTATTGCCACATAAATCGATGAAACTAAATTTAAAAACATCTTTTCTTTTCTCTCTCTCATTTTTTTCGTACAATTTAAATCTTCTTGCTTCTATTATTCATTCATCTTTCATGGTTCGTTCATTTGTCTGCAAATATGCAATTTGAAGTAATAAACTATAAAATAATAAAAAGAGAAAAGTCTGTTTTTTCTTACAAATACGTAATTTGAAGTAATAAACTATAAAATAACAAAATAGAAAAAGATGGTAAAAAAGTAACTCATTTCTTTTAAATTACGGTAGGTAAAAGAACTGAAAATGAGGAATGAAATTTTTGATAATATGTTGTGGTGGTGAACAAAAGAAAGAATATCCATTTAAATATTTTTATTCTTTTTTTATTTAAATAATTTTACAATTAAACAAATTTCATTTTCAAAATTAACGAATTAAAATGAATTCATCCCTCCAAATCTCACTAATATCTGTCACTATTTTTTACAATTAATTAAAACAAATTAACAAAAAAAGAAAAGAAGAAAGCATGAAAAAGATTATCGATACAATTAAGCCATTCAACAATAATTTACGCTTTTATTGTTGGAAAAATTTTTTAGCAGACAGCCAAAATAGTATAAGGCGAATGATTTCAAAAAATTAATGAAAGCAATAATAAAATAAATGAAGCAATTTGAAATTGGTTTTTATCCAAAAATTATGATATGATAAAATTGATAAGCGATAGTATTAAAAATGATAAGAAATGGAAATGAAAATTTAAAAATTGATTAAGCAAGAAAGTTTTTTATAAAAAGTGGCAAAAATGATCGTAGAATCTTTTGCGATAACGACAGCTTTTGCATTACTTTGTGATAACATCAATAAAAAGATATCATTTTGATACATATCTTATTGAGCTTTATCACCACCATACTTTTTAAACAATAATAATTACCTAATCAATTAATCAATCTATTAATCATTGCTGATAAAATCATACATTATTTTGCTTGTTTTATTTTTTAATTTATTGCAATTAATTGTCATATTCATTAAAAAATTAACTAAAAGAAATTTGGAACAAAAACAATTGAACAAAATATAATGGGAAATTTTTACAAAGAAATAGAAGAAACTAAAATTTAAATTATTCAAAATATTTTAGACAAAACAAACAAATAAACAAAAACAAACAAATAAACAAAACGAAAAACAAATTGAAATTGAAATTTGATAAAGAATGATAAAATGATAATGAAGAAAGTGAGTAAAATAAAATTAAGAAAAGATGGTAAAAGGAAAGATTGAAATATTATATACATAGTTTTCTTATCAGTTCATTGATAAATATATCACAGACAAAGCTTTGATCACATTAAAAGCAAAGCATAAAATTTTCATTTGAAATAAATATACAATTTTTTGTAAAATTGATAAAATGCATATGGAAAAAAATGCTTTAAAAAAATTATTAATTTAATTAAAAAGTTTTTTAATTAAATTAATAATTTTAATTTAATTAAGATAGAAAAATTTGAATAAATTTTTATTAAATTAAAAAAAAATGAGGAAAAACAAATTTCTTTTTCTTTGTCAATTTTCAAATGACAAAAATTTTTGCATTAATTAATTAATCAAATTTGATTAATTAGTAATTTATGTGAAAATTTTCCCTTTATTAAATACAAAAAAATGATGAATTTATGATGTATCACTTGTTTGAAAACCACTATCCGTTGTATCATTACCATCTTCCTCTAATATTCGTCGATCTTTGTTTGAATTTTGAATAATACCATTCTCTTTCACTAACGTTACAGTTTCATCGGAAAATTCCGGGATTCGAACTTGCATATCAGCAATTAATGTTGTTAATTCATCGCTGGTGATAGAAACCGCATCACCGCTTATATGTGATCCAATTGCGCCCGTCTGAAATAGCAAAAACGAAATTATGCGAATTTTCTTCGTCATTTTTTGAGATTCTAAAATTTGTAAATTAACAACGACTTTTCGCATTTTTGTTTTGGGGTTAATTCGACGAATGTAAAAGGTAATTAATGAATTCTGTTGAAGGTAGAGAATTTGATTATGTTGAAATATAAAATTGAACATTTCATAAATCTTACGATATGCGAAATTATTTTGAGTATAATTCATTTTAAAGTATCTTCTTAAAAATTCAGAAAAAGAAGAAATACTAATTTCTTTAATTCTATATATTAAAAATTCTGACAGAGACAATTGAAAATATTATAATTAAATTAATCACACTTAAAAATTTTTATTATAATTAAAATATAATATAAATTAAATAAATGAAATTAAAAACTTTTTAATTAGTATAATTGAATCGGAAGGATTGAAGAACTACAGAGAAAAAAATGGACGAAATATAATTCTTTAATTTTATATATTAAAAATTCCGGCAGAAACAATTGGAATTATTATAATTTAATTAATCACACTTAAAAATTTTTAGTTATTATAATTAAACTATAGTATAAATTAAATAAATGAACTTGATCAAGATAATTGAAACGAAAGGATTGGAAGAATTACAAGAAAGAAAATGAACAAACCGAAGAATCATCGTCCATATCACATACTGAGCTTCCTCTTAATTGTGTATGCGTCCATTTCTCGGCTTTCTGTAATCTTTCAAGAATTAAATACTAAAATAGAAAAAAGTTTTTAATTTGAATTTTCGTACTTTAATATTTTATAATATATAAAATAATTACCCTTAGTAATTATGGAATCAATTAAATTTAATTTTAATATTTTATAATATATAAAATAATTACCCTTAGTAATTATGAAATCAATTAAATTTAATTTTAATATTTTATAATATACAAAATAATTATTCTTACTAATTATGAAATCAATTAAAACTTTTCATTACAATAAAAACTATTATTTTAGCATTTAATTTTTCAATATATTTACTTAAGTTTGTAATATAGATTATTCAATATTTACTTAAGTTGAAAATGTGTAATAGCTTTTACATTAGATTTAGAATTTTTACAAATAAGCCAATAAAGACTACATTTAGCGATAGACTTTATAAATGTTTACATTGGACTTAGATTTTATAGATATTTTAAATTTTCAGTAATTTTAAATGAACAAAAGATTTATTCTTAAATTCATTGTTTATCGGAATTTTAATAGCTAAATAAATGAGACTTACCTTAAGTTCAAGATGAGTAATAGCTTGTTTTAAATCAGCAATATGTTGCATTGCTTCGCTATATTTTAATCGTTCAATTACCGATCGTTCTTTTAGTTCACTTTCTACCTCAATCGCTTTACGTCGTTCTTCCTTAATTTGATCCGAAAGATCTTTTTCACGCTAAAGAATAAAAGAAAAATTATAATTCTAGAAATAAATCAATGATTGAATTGAGCATAATTATAATTGTAAATTGAATATAATTATAATTGTATATAATGACAATGATAATGGATAGTGCATAATAATAATAATAATAATAATAATAATTGTAAAATAATAATAATGACAATTATAAAATTATAACAATGATAATGGATAGTGCAAAATAATGATAATGATAATTGTAAAATAATAGCAATGATAATAGATAGCAATTTTCAATGATAACATTAACAATTATAATTATAATTAATAATAATCATTATTATGATAATGAAGTATGATTAGAAAAATATTAAACCTGTAGAATATCGTCTTTTTCTTCACGCAAGCGTTTCATTTCTTCATCTTGTCGTTTAAGTTGATTTGTACAAACATGATTCTATAAGAAAAAAATTTTTTATAATAATTAAATTTGCAATCAATTAATTCATTATAATAATTAATTATAATAATTAATAATTATAATAATTAAGTTAGTGAGCTTTTTAATTTTCATTTCTGTTTGTTTTCATTTCTGAATGATTTTTGCGACAAATAGAGTGGGGATAAAAAAGACTGTTATAGATACGTTTACGTCAAAATGCAGCGGCTACTGCAACGACAG